GGGCGTCACGCGACACCGAGTCACTAGTGTCCGCGGCAATGACAATGATGAATCGCGATACTATCTCCAGCGGACGGGAGAGGGAGGGGGGATTAGTGGCAACATGCGCAAAAATGCAAGTTCACAACGGGAAGGACAAGCGCTACACTGGACCAGGTTCGATACCTCGTCCGGCCTGGACGCTCCCCCGTGGAGTAGAGATGTTCTGCACACCTTTGCTGCCTTGCTAACGATGAACGCCCTATGAGTATGACCCTCAGAATGTTGCGCATTGCTTTTGACGAGGCGCAATTTTCTAGGAAGCTTGCTGGGATTTTCCTTTCAATTTTTCACAGAATTTCACTCACGTAGACGTATCACAGACGTATTTCTATCAAACGGAACTAAGCGCCAAATTGAGTTAGGACTAGAATCCCGGATAGCGCGATTCGTCAAACGGAACTAAGCGCCATGGAAAAGCATTGCGAGGACGGAATGAGCATCGCGTTCGGCAACACCCGCCAATCCAAGCCCCCCTCTCCCTTCCTACCCCTATGGCGCTTAGTTCCGTTTGATAAAAACACGTCCAATTTGATAAAAAATTATCTGGTAATGGAGAATTTGCGCACATTTTTTTATTGCTGTATCCGAGAGTGCTTGGTAAGCTGCTTTTGCAGTATTTTTCCGAAATTTTTTCTGATATACGGGAAATAGTAGTAAAATAGATCTGAAAAAGAAAATCTGCGACCTTGTGACGTCATCAGGCAGAAGTTCCCATTTAAACCTGATGTATTTTAGCAGATTAGGTAATTAAGTCATATCTTTAATAATTGTTCACTTAAGAAACCAGGGATACTCCTCATGCTCAGTTCTTTCAGTAATTACTTCTTGCACACGGGTTTCACACGATTTCAGACACCTGCAAATTCTCAATTTTTGGAGGAAAATATTCATAACTCTCCTAAAAGTAACTATTTTATTGGTGGATATTCGGTAAGATTGGAGGGCCTCGAGGAATTCAAATGAAAAACCTGCCACCGATACCCATCGCCCCTCTATGAAGCTCAATAACGATAAAACAGTTTGTTGACTAGTTAAATAGGTATTTCTGGAGACTTTAACGAACGGCGACAAAAACTAACTAAATTTTTTTGACCTGTTTAACCATTGATCTCACTTGAAAAATTACTTCGCATATTTATGGCTTCTGATCGATCAACAATTGAACTGCACTTCAGCTGACTATGAAGTCACTGGGCCGGAAACTGGAAAAAAAAAAAACACACACACACACACACACACACACACATTGGATCTAGAGTCCAGACTCTCAAAAACATCGACAAGAAAAAATACCCTTGAGTCAATCAGAGTTAACCTCAAATCAAGGACCAAGTCTCTTAATTTGAGCGGATTTTCTTTTGATTTAAGCTTAAATCTGATTGAATCGAGAGTCCTTTTTCTTGTCAATGTTTTCAAGAGTCTGGACTCTAGATCCAATGTTGTTTTTTTTTTTTTTTTTTTTTTTTTTTTTTTTNTTTTTTTTTTTTTTTTTTTTTTTTTTCCAGTGGACAAACGGTGTCGATTGAAATAAGTCTTCGGTCGAAAATAAAAAGGAAAAAAGAAAAAGAAGAGAGAAAACGGACAAGATTTCTCATTCGATCTCCTTTCTCGCCCGGAAAATATCACTGATGTTTCGAATGCGAAGCTTCACCATAAGCCCACAGAGACACAGTGAAGTGAAATGGTGGTTAAAAATAAATAAATCACGGCTAATGAACGAGGGTTCGGAGTGTTTGAAGAGAAAAGACTCATACGCTGTGTGAGTATGCGCGAGGATCCAGGATGCGAAGCAGATGCATCTAGTTAGGCTTCATTCAGACGTGAGTCCCGATGCCGGAAATGAAGAATTAAAAATTCACTCCTTGTCATCCCCTCGGAACTCTCTCAACCTCTCTCCCATCTTGCGGAATCGGACTGTGCTCGCAGCTTAGATTGGTCTCTAGAGCTCTGATCGCAAGGTCGACTTTCAAAAGCCGCGATTGCATTCAATTTAAAATTGGGGGTTGAATCCTCACACTGATCTTCCTACAACGAGAATCATATCTGACTTATGGATTTAAGGTTGCGTGTATACACTGGAAAAAAAAAACACATTGGATCTAAAACCAGACTCTTAAAAACATCGACAAGAAAAAGTACTCTTGATTCCATCAGAATCTGCTTAAATCAAGAACCAAGCCTCTTAATTTAACCGGATTTCGTTTTGATTCAAGCAAAAATCCGATTGAATCAAGAGCATTTTTTCTTGCCAATGTTTTCAAGAGTCTGGACACTGTGTGTTTTTTTCCAGTGTAATAATCGACTTTCAAAATTATAGTTTTAGTGAGTGTATTCTAAAAATGTATGATTTTAAGGCAACAAATAGGAGAAGAGGAATCAAGAGGTGGTAGAAAACATATTCAATGTATAGCTTTCAGTTAGTTAAACGTAGCGAGATGAGATCGACACACGAAATAAGACTATTGTGATTTTTAAGTAGCTCAAAATTGCGTGCGAACCGAAATGAAGGGGCTTCGAAAGATAAAGTAAAAACATTAGCGAACATACCTTCTAGCGTTCCGTTAATACACCTCCAGAAATGAAACTGTAACAAGAAAAAACAGAAAAATGTAGAATCTAAAGGTACGTTTTCAGAAAAAAATCAATAAAGAACAAAAATTGAATGCGTTAATCTCTAAGTCTAACGTTGATAAAAGGCTTTATAGCCTAGGTAATCCTACAAATACTTCTAGATGTGTATTAGTCGCCTTTACAGAAACTCCTAGATTTTTTTGCTATTTAATTGCTAGATTCTTAGCAATTTTTAAACAAATATGTACCAAGTTTATCAGAAAGGGACTCGATGTAACACTTTCGAGAAAAATGAGTAATACGTGACTTTTTGTCGTCTTTTGGGTCAAGGCGTGCTTCAGACCTTATTTTTGCAAAGTGAGGGAGCTTTCTAAAAATTAAGAGGTTTAGAGACTGAGATTCCGACAAACTTTTTGCTCTTTAGAACTTAATGCACCACTGAAGTGGTGTCTTTGGGTTGAATTTAATCTAATTTGCCCCTTGCAATGGTTATAGTCTTCCTCACTTTCCAAATCGAAAGCTGCGATGAGCACACTTTCAACGGCGGTCGGCGGTCTCATCAAAGCGAATTGGATATTTTTGACAAACAGGCACTTATTAAAGCTCAACTTCGGCATTCATTCAAACACTCGGAAGCGAAAAAAAAACAGGGAAAGAAAAAAATACACGAGGCGGAACCGAAAAGAAGCTGAAAAGCGAAAGATGATGAAAAAATAAAAGGCGTCATTGTGTGATGACAAGCTAGGTTTGTCGCGCGATCAGTCATGAAAAGGCAGTAGCCCTTTGTTGGCGAATAAATACATAAAGAAGAAAAAGCAGGAGGATATTAGGAAAGAAGCTTACGAAAAAAAGACCTATCAAAGGTAAAAAAAAGAAAAATAAGAAGGAAGAAAGCGGTGCCGGGTTTCGATTTAATTATGACGGGATGCAAAACGAGAAGTTGTGAAAAAGGACGAGGCGAGAAGGGATGCGAGAGGGATAAGGTAGCGGGGGTGTGAGAGAGGATAGAAATGATGATGAAATAACAATGTTTTGACGATTTAGGCCTAATCTTAATCCTGGTGTTGTCATATTGAACTGAGGCAACTGTTCGGAAAAAGGAAATGGCGAGAAAGAAGGTTAAGCCTGTTCGTTTCTCGGCCCAGGTCACAAATAACTAAATCCTGATTGAAAGGTCCTTTCACTGAGGGACGTAAGTCGAAAAAGCAAATTTCTACGTCGATCAACCCAACGGAAGCATTTTAGTAAAATGCTGAAGGTTTAACTTGTGTCAGAATGTCTTTCAATAAAAATTAGAACTACGAAAGTGACATGTGCATGGATCGGAAAACGATTGCCGCTGTGAAAGATTTTGTAAAATTGACGCTCTAAATAATGAAAGCTGTGAACGTTAGCATTGTACACTCTTTCAGTACTTAGGCCATACTGAGAGGGGTAAGATAAAGAGCGATGAGAAAAGGAGGAAGTATTCGACTTGAGGAGTTCTTCCTACACAAAATTGTTTTTCTGCTTGCAAGGTTGAGGCAATATGTCGAGTTGGATAATCTGAAATGCCAAGGAAATTATCTCTATGGGGCAAACGAAATTATAGTGGATTTGGAAAAATCACTGCTGTTAGTTGGTTTACAGGTAAATTAACTTAAAATTTCTTTAAATTTTTTTTTATTTTTCTAAATGAGTTATACTGAACGCATACAGCAACTATTTGAGCCTTCATAAAAATATCTTATAGCCCGCGAAATTGCTTTAATTGGACAAATAAATAAACAAACGAATAAAAGTTTTTTTTTTTTGTTTTTTCTCCAACTCCACAGGTGTGTTATTTCTCCGTAAAAAATGTGTGAGAGAGAAGTGAAATTATTGGCAAATTAGCTAGTATTAGCAAATTATTAGGAAATAGCTAAAGAAAAAGACCCTCGTTTAAGATGTATGAATTGAGGAAAAACATGTAATAGACTTTATTTTGCAATCAGGAACTACAATTTCTGGCTTATTCGTAAAAACACTTACGTGAACACGGGAACTAATGGTGCACACGTTGTTTCTGAACTGACAGGAGCCAGAAATTGTAGTTCCTAATTGCAGAATGCAGTCCAATAATCCCAACCTCTTGGCACCGATGCCTTGCCGCCTGGACTCGGACCAGGAGTGGCAGGAGCCATCGGGAGCAATTCGAGACCCACTGGCCCTGGGCCCTGGGAGGGCCCCCTTTCATCTCGCCGCCCCGGGGGCCGCGCCCTGCCTCACACCGCGACGGAATAATGCACTTAAAGCGACCCCGAACCCGAGACATTTTCGGAAATAAAATAAAAAAAATAAACACGTGAAAAGAGGAACAGGGCCGACGGCTGTCAGGTTACGCACAATTAAAAAAATAAATGGTGGGAGGGGGAGGGGGCACTGTCGGGAACTGATTGGTGGTAATCGAGTTTGTCACGTCTTCATGAACTCCGCTCCCGGGAGCGTATTTTTCACACACGATTTTCGGCAGATGTGGCTCCGATATTTGGATCTCGTTTAGCAAAATATAGTTAGAGCCGGTGGCCAATGGCACACCAGCCTACCCACTAAAATATTGTAATTAGTTCATAGTTTGTAGTTATAAAAAATAGAGTTAATACTTTGTAGTCCTCTATATAATCAATAAAGAGAGAAAAAAATTAGCAAAAAGGAACCAGCGCGATTACAGTATTTTCAAAATCGTGCAACTTCTTCTTTGCTTCACTGGAAAAAAGTCGCTTGGATCTAGAGACCGGACTTTTGAAAACATTGACAAGAAAAAATACTCTTGATTCGATCGGATTTTTGCTTAAACCGAGAGCCAAGTCTCTTAATTTAAGCGGATTTCCTTTTGATTCAAGCAAAAATCCGATCGAATCAAGAGTATTTTTTCTTGTCAATGTTTTCAAGAGATTGGACTCTAGATCCAATGTGTGTTTTTTTTCCAATGTTTTGAAAATACGTAATTTATGTACAATATTAACATTCACACCATGACTTTCCTTTAAAATTGACAATTTCGTGGTGGGAAGCAAGAACTATTTGTCATTCTGAGAGATTTATTGGATGATTAGGAAGAAGCAACATTTTTTCAACACTGTAATCGCGCTGGTTCCTTTTTGCTACAAATGCGATCCACTCAGCTTTCGGGCGACCAGAGATTTCGTATTTGCTAGAAGAGCATTTTTGTGTTAAAAATTCTGGTCACTTGGAAGGCAGGAGCTCAAAACATGTTCAGAGTTTGAAGGTAGAATAAATAATTGACAAAAATCGAAAACACGTTGGGGCTCTTAAAAGTCGGTTTCATTATCTGTCATGTCATGGTTGTGTTTCTCACATTCATAGCTAAAATGTCTCTCTCTTTCTCAAGCTAGCTCACCCGAGTCAAGTTAGCTGGGAAGAAATAGAACGAACTGGTTCGCCTTTATTATGAAAGTAGGCAAAAAGGGCTCCTGAGAGCTGTTATAATGATCTCTATTTCCTAAGCTTTTACTGCTCGACGGAGATCAGCTAAAAGAGCGTGACCGACTGATTCGCCTTCAATTGAGAAAGTAGGCAAAATTGGCTCCTGAGAGCTGGTATAGTGGTATCAATTTCCTATGCATTTTAAGCTCGACGGTGCCGCCCGACGAAGATCAGCTGAACATGCGTAGACGCCCGATTCGCCTTCAATTGAGAAAGTAGGCAAAATGGGCTCCTAAGAGCTGATATAGTGGTATTTACTTCCTGTGTTCTTGCTCTGTTACGGTCTGCAAACAGCTGAGAGAACTTGGACGACTGATTCACCTATGAAGGTATCAATTTCTACTATTTTTCTTCCATTTTATCTCGCTGCTCAACTTGAAAGGCTTCGACGATATGAGATGGAGCTTTAGATAACTACCTAAAGCAGTGGCTGCGCTTGATTTTTTTTAATCAGAACTTCTGGTAATTTATCCTTCGAGAATTAGTTTGCAGTAAGCTTTCTTTTATAATTCTCAAGTTCCGCATCAAACAGGAAATCAGAATTTTTGCCGAGTTGTTTTTCTTCGAATGAGAGAAATGGACTGTGGGAGATGCTTGAGACAAAGATTGTTACTGAGAGATAAGGAGAGGGCAAAGAAGGAGAGGAAGAAGATAAAAGGAGGAAAACTATAGAGAAGAAGAGGAGGATACGGGAAGGGAAAAATAATCGAAAATCATACAAAATCCAAGGAGTTCGGCACTAACTTTTTGAGGTCTTTCATGAAGATTACGATTGTTTTAGAAGAAATTTAATTTAAGTAAAACGTAACTCTTTTAAGAATACTTCTTGCACATATATACATGATTTAAATAAACTAGATTATTTTCATTAACATACAGAGTAACATTAGATGATAAAATCATTATCCAGGAAACACGAATTAAAAAATTCTCTGTCTTTTTTTCTTCTTTTTTTTTGAAATATTAAAACATATGACGTTTTAGTTTAATTACTAAAAATTCCTCCCTTCGCACTCCATTCACACTCTCATTTATACCTTACATATTTCTACTTACAGCGTAAATCTTTTTACGATTTTCAGGATATAGTCTGTAAAAATTGTGAGACTAGAATCACCGTTTCCGTAAATTCCGCTAAATTTTGTCTGGCTGACTCACGAAGGGTAACAACCTCCAACTCATTGTTGTCCATCGGCGAAAGCAGTGCGTGCTGACGAAAATCCGCGGCAAAAATGGGAGGCGTGGATCTATTTAAAGCGGACTAATTTTGGTCCAGGATCGGTCGGTGAGAGATGCGAATCCTCTTTGAATTACGATCACACTTGTTCGCGTCATGCTCGCGCAGACAGATCTGACTATGTGTCACCCTGGGCTAATATGGGTTTAATGACAAAATAAACTACGGAAAACAAATAGCTGTGCGAATTATAAAAATCGCCGTGACGCAAGGGGCGTCATGATATGCGAGTTTGGAGGAACGTTGCCGGACTGTCATTAAATTGGTCGAGGGCTGGAGGAATAATACTGCACAACAGACAATTTTGGCAAAAATGAGGAAGCGGCTTTGCTGCATTCTACATTATAAAATACGCAATTTGATGGTTTTAGTTTTTTCTCCAATATAGTAGGGAATCGTTATACGATGACGCTGTAATGTATGAAAAAATTTCAAATCTATCCTTAAAATTACAAAAATATATTCTCGGTGTATGTCAGTTCCGTTTGCTCGCTTCCATCAATTTTTTGCTGTGTAGCAGCTTAGAGTAGAAGCGTCATGACTGCATTTTTAACGTTTCAAGATTGAGATATAACGAAAAAACCTCCCGGTGGGTCAGTGTATAGCTTCCCATTTGTACTTCGCATTTTTGAAGTTTTTGTTTGGCGTTGAGTATAATGACCAAATTGTTTCACTCGCTGAGCCCCTTTAAAGCATTTAGGAAACATGAATAACTCGATTTCCCCAAAAATCCATGGCCGAAGCGGGGAAACCACGTATATCCATTGCGACGTTTCAAAATTTCCGCTTCTATTTTACTTTTTTCGAGACTAAAAAACCACCTTTAAACCTTGAAATTTATACAGAGTATTCTGCTGACACATAAAAGGAAAATTAAGGAAGCTTCATTGTTTTCCAAAGAAAAAATGCAGAATGACAAAATGTCAGTAACGTCCCAATCGGAGATAAGTGGTTTTGCACTTCGGCCATCGAAATGTAAGTTACAACCCTTTTACGCTAAGTTGTTCGGTGTGTTGGCGTCTTCCGATAACAAATTCCAGCCGAGGGCAAGGACTCTGGCAATCTGGCAACCCGGGTCGTCGGCAGCGCTGCCAAATTGGGGCATAAATCACTCCATCAGCACTGATCCGAATGGAGCTAATCGGAGGATCTGTCAACGGTGGTAGCGCGGGCTGGGAGTACACAAATATATGCGCCTGTGCGTGCAGCGGATATGAGAGCTGGAATTTGGATCCTTTCCAAACGGCCCAACATTGTCATTTGATACTTTCCACGGGCCCCCAGCCCCCACCCCCGTGTGGTTTTTTACTTTTTCTCCCGGCTGGCCCGGAAACGACCCAAAGCTTAAGGTGCCATTTGTATACGAGACATAACTCGCTTACTCGCCGGTGAAAATGCGCAATCGCAGATCACCATCGCTGCAATCACTCCATTGGCCACCTTGGAGTCTACTTGGGCGTGCGTAAGAGTGATTTCAAGAGCTCGTGAGTTTGACGGATGAGCTCTTCAGCCAATGTATATCCACAGCAATTTATTGCAAAAAGGGTCTAAATGGTTTGGCATGTTGATAGAGGCACCTATCTGTCGATTAAAATCAATAGTAGATATTTGATTTTGAAACAAACCAAAACAATTCGTTCTTTTTTAATAAACCCGATACTGCCGCGTAGTGCGCGTCCAAAGTAAAAACGCCGTATCTCTATTCGACACTTTTTCAATTTTATTCTGACAAAATGCTGTTTTACAAAAAACCTAACCAATATTCATCCTTCATTTTTCTGATACAGCTCTGGCGCACCATTAGGAAATCAAAATGAAAGAATGAAGCCTTAGGGCAATTTCATTTTCTTGTAATAGAACAGTATGTGCTGGAAAAAAGTAAAAACAATTGGAGAGGAGTTACGCCGTTTTTGCTGAGAACGGCAGTTTATATCCAGGATTTCCACTAGTTCTTCATTTTCTGATTCTCTGACTTTTCCTCGACTTTCTTGGCTTTTCCCTGAACTAAGATCGGAATTCACGTTGTAACCTCAAAATCAGCGACAACAGGCCAGTGTTTTAAAATCTTCTGAGAGAGGGCCAAACGCACCTTGCTCTGTTGACCCAAGTTTGGGTTTGAAGCGAAGAAGAAACTAAGCTAACTGCAGGACACAGCTTAAAGTATCACACGACTTTGAAGGCGCTTCAAGCGAAGGATTCCTGGGGGCTCTTTCTTGGAAGAGGTATCACGATGGGAGTGATTTCCCACTCTTAAAGAACTTCAATCGAAAGTTAATAGTGAGAACTTTTAGTTTCTAATTCCTCACACATAAACCGGAACATCAATTCAGCATAGCCGTGAAATGATTCATGAGTGCTTGAAGCCGGGTAATGAAAAGTTCAGTAAAATTTCCCCATACGGTCCACTGCGCACAGTGGAACGAACCAATGGAAGAGGTCGGACATAAATTTTGTGGCTAAAATTTCAAATTTTAATGTTTGTAAATTTACAAATTCAATTTCAAGAGGTGTTTCTAAAAGAAAACTTCACGAAAAAGCCAATCAAACCACTCTTGAACTTTCTTGTTTCATATTTTCAAAAATATAAGCTTTCAAAGTTTCCAGATTTTGTCCGACTTCTCTTATTGCCTCGGTCTGGTGTGCGGCCCACGGCGGCGTTTGTCCACAGAAAATCCTACATTAAGTTGAAATATCATCGTAAGCTCCTTCAAATTTAATCATGGTTTTTAGGATTTTTAAGAAAACAATGATAATGTAAATAAAAATACATAGCCTCCATGATGATGAATGTATGCTGGTTTCATTGGCAGGAAATTTCAAGAATATGGTTATGAATTTACTCATATACTACTCCACGCTTCGTCGGGTAGTGAAGTTCGTTGCATATTCAACCAAACCGTGACTTAGGTCAACGGAAACAGAACTGAAATGAAATTTATTGAAAATAATTTTCGGCGAGACGCGCCTTCATCTTTGCGGGATACAATACGCTTTGTCAGGGAGTTAGTTAAGTTGCCTGGCCGGCTCGAACCCAACTTAGGTCACCCGTTATTGAGGATTGCTCTGATCCTTTTGGGACACGATTTCGACTTGCAGCGCATCATTTTTTACAGGATATACTCTCTGATCACGTGAAGTGTTTGCTATTGGTTGCTGGCACAAATTAAGCATGTTTGACTAGTTGAAACTATTTATGGTTTTAATAAAATAACAGTGGAATGCAAGGGAAAAATAATACGAGATATTACGACGAACTGGGAGTGAAGGATTTAAAAGGTTCAAAATAAAAGCTAAGCATGCTGCAATGCTCGATACTACAAATATACAGAAATCAACATACCAATTGAGGATTGCAAACGTTTTCGAGATCTGCAACTCGCTGCAATCGGGCTTGTGTATCGGCCGCAAAATTTGACGGAGATAGCTGCACAAAAAACAAAAAAGAAGGTTAAAATGAATTTTAAAACAAGGTGCGACTAAATTTTGTACCAATGATTAATACTGCGACGAGTACAAAGAAAACACAAAAATGGGATCTGCCCGGCTGCCAAATTTATGTCTCATTAACTGGAAATATTATAACCAGTGATCACATATCGTCACATTCCGACTAAAGTATCACAAGCGCCATGCGACGTTTAAAAATTTTCACCGCCATTTTATTTTTCTACAGAGAAATTATTCAACGAAGCTGCCGGAAAATTGCATTGAATTTTCTTTGTCCTGCCGATAAAATTTAGTGACATTTTCAAACAGATTTAACCAATAATTTCTCTGTAAAAAAATAAAAAGGCGACGAAAATTTTGAAACGTCACATGGCGCTTGTGATACTTTGACCGGAAGGGGCGGATTATGTTAAAGTATCAAAACACATTAGTCATACATTAATAACATAGACATTTATTTTAATCCCATCAAATATAATGATTGCTTATAATTATAACCGCATTTAAAGATAATTCACAATTTCAAAATAAGGAGTGTACCTAACTAACTTAGCTCCTCCGCATGCACTTATTCATAACATACACTGTATGCATGTCAATACCCAAGAAGAAAGCTTTTCCATGATCAGAGCTCGTCACCTCGAGCGAACTATAAATGAGGATTTAGATTTTAATTAATCACGAGTACAATGGTGCAGTCTCCAATCGCGACATTCGTTATTACATGGGATTATGCATAGGACCATAAGATCGCATCGAGCGAAAAATAAACACGAAGGCGAGAAGTGTGGCCGCAAAGTGAAAAAGTGGTTTGGAGACTTAGATCCCTAATTTAGATACGGAGCTCACCGCTTTAGTCTTTAATCTTGGATCAGTCATGACTCTTTCGCAGTTTCGTCGTGTCGCCCTTTCTGCATGTCGCATTTCTCTCTCTCCCCCATCCTCCCCTCTCCCCTCCCTTCCCCCTCTCCTCCGACGTGCTTTTAACTTTTCTGTTTCTTATTCTCTTCTTTTAAAAATTTGTGTTGAACTTATTTTCGCCTCGCGTCTCTCTCAGTATCTGTTCCGATAAAATGTGTCGGCCGTATGAGCCATCGTTGTGTTGCTAGCACTATAATAAAAATACACGACTATGTTCAAGTTTTCAAGATTCATTAATTTAAGAAACTGATGGGATAATGCGGTCGATTCCAAAATCCTTTCGAGGGTTTTCTCGCGGGTGATTTCAATTAGATCTAGGTTTGAAATAAATTCTGTGAGAAATTCACGGGTAAAATCAAATTTTTAAACATTTTTCGAAATAGCACACTGAAAAAAAAAAAAAAAAACTCTGGCCATAGGAGCCGCAGTTACGGGCTATATAGATATACCATCCGTTCCGGGCTCAAAGGCCGAAAATTTCGGCTGCTGGAGCCGTAACTTCGGCCTCTGGACCCGGAGCAATCAAAACTACGTTTCCAGCAGCCGGAATTTTTGGCCTTTGAGCCCGAAACAGACGGTATGTCTATATAGCCCGTAATTGCGGCTCCCACGGCCGGAGTATTTTTTTCAGCGCAAAAACTGCACTTATGCGCCTTGTCCTCCAAGCCCCTCAAATGGTCCTAAAATGACAACTTTTACCACTTTCCCTGCTTTTTGGTTTCTTTAAGTTTCAATCTCTACGCAGCCTCAATCCTGCGAGCTCCTGCGTTTCTCAACCTGGGGTGAGACTCAAACAAAAGGTCAGGGGGCCGGCCTCCCGACTACAAATACTGCAACAACTTCATAGCTTTGAAATTTATTTTTCTCATTTAACGCGGACGCAAGACTGTCACGACACTCTATCAATTATTACACTCACACTCTCACGAATGCGTCGCCGCTGAATTCTTGCGTTGAGACCGGGTGGAAAGATCAAATCACGGAGCAGGCCAGCTTTCGTTTCCCTTGCCGGGTTTGACCGTTAGGGCGTTGGGCACCCGCGCCGTAACCGTAACTGCTCGACTGAAATTTATGTTGAATTTTAATTGATCTCCAATCCGCACGGAAATGAAAGTCTCGATTCGTCTCGTATCCTTCGATTCGCTTGCTTCGTATGAAAAATGGACCGCGTTAAACAAAAAGGAACCAAGCCACATCAGCTCTTGCTAAATTTAATTCGACAATTTAATTTTTTACATGAAAACGGTTGTGTGGATCTATGTGCAAATTTTAGGGAATTTTCTGCACAGTACAAAGCAAATTCCTGAAAATGTTCAAAAGAACAAGCACAAGTGTTCTCTCGTAAAAAATTAAATTTCCCAGTCAAATTTGGCAATAGCTGATGTGACTTGGTTCCTTTCTGTTAAACGCGATTCAAATATCAGCTCGCTTCTCTCTCAGACTTGTTTGTTTCAGGATTTTAGTGGAGCAATACTGCAATGGCCTGGTTACACAATCAAATTCCCGTCAAATTCCGATCAAAATGATGACCAAGATGGCGGTCGAGAGTTATCTAGATTGGCGAGTAAAATTAATTAAAACAGCGTGTTGATTAAAATTAAAATAAGCATGAAATAAACACGCTTGTGTGGAAATCAGATGAAGGATGAGCCCCACAGCTCCATCATCTACCATCAAATTTTGCAGGCTGCAGAAATTTGATGGTAGATGGTGCGCACCAGTCACCATTTGATCGGAATTTGACGGGAATTTGATCGTGTAACCAGGCCACAACCGTCTGGCCACGTGGGCCGCGGCCCATGGCGGCAAATCTAGAGGGCGGCAAATTTTGCAATTTTTTTAAATGTAGGCATAAACAAACATCGGATTTAGAAAAAAAAATACAAACGAGAAAAGGCGACAAAGTCTCTCATTTTCTGAGAGTGTAGTAATTTTTAATTTTGTCGTCTTTCAGCGATACAAGAGACAGCACCTTTAATAATAATTAGTCGGGTCAAGAGAGAAACCAAACACGCAATTTGGCCTGGAACGGCGCGGCGCAGAGAGCAATGATGACGAGGACTCGAGATGAAAAGGAGAAGACATCGGCGCGGCGATCGGCATGTAACGCATATCAGCGCCTACAAGACTGCACGAATACTTCACGCACTGTATCAAACACAGTGCGGTCACTGCGGTCAGCGTGAAACAGATAGCGCCTACAAGAATGCATGAATACCTCACGCATTGCGGCAAACACAGTGCGGTCAGCGTGAAACGCATGGCGCCTACAAGGCTGCGTGAATACTTCACGCATTGCGCCAAACACGGTGCGGTCTGCGCGGCGTGGCGGCGAAAGTTAAAATCATTAAACCACATTCATGTTAGTTATTTCATAATTTTTTCGTTCATTTCTTATGAATGGAAGGCCTTGTCCAAACAGAGATAGATTTACAAAACTTAACTTTTGCTAGTAGTGTTGACAGGGCATCCCAAAAAATGTGTTCAACACGAGTAAACGCGTCTTATGCACCCCTCCCCCGCTGGCACGTTCACTTGATGGTTTTTATTGATATTTCAATACGAATGAGAAGGAGGCGGCAAAATACAGGCGGCCCATGGGCGGCAAGTGAGTAAATCTGGCCCTGTACGGAAAGACGGTTAAAAATCGTCGATCTCACTTGGTCTAAGACTCGACTCTCTCCCCCTCATTTCGCTCACTTGCTTCCCGTAACGACCACAATTCGAAACTTGAGAAAGGTCAGTTTTGCCAGGGATAATTAATCGGAAGCTCAAGTTCGGTTGGGTTCCCGATGATGCGGTTTAATTATGTATGCAGGTAGCCAAGCTCGAACAGGGGGATCCAGGAACATGATCGGTGAGCTGTGAGCACTGTGCTGCTGTCCTAAGGAAAAACGCTACATGAATCTTCGGACGTTGTCAAATTTCTTTCGATAAAATACACATTTTCGGAAAAACTTGAGAATGTTTCTGTATAATTTTTTGTAAATTTTGACAAATGATTTAATTTGGCTATTCCAAGAGCGCCGAATTGGGAGGAAGCAGAGGGGGGCAATTGTTCCCTCTGAATCCCAAAGACACTGTAGTAAAAATGGGAAGGGGCATGACTTACTGTGTGCGTAAAGAAAATATGCAACAGGTGCTGGTGCACCGTTGCAAAGCTTGGGTAAGTAACGTTGCTGTGGAGACAGTGGAAAAGATAAGTCATTATTTTTACCCCAGCACGTCTCAGGAATTTAAAATTTTTTACCGGTTACATAAAAATTAATAATTTTCAAAAACAAAATTTTAAAAGAAGTTTTCTCATATAATTTATTGTTTATGAACACTCTTGTGGCTGCCTCAAAGTCATACTTTGTGAACTTTTATTTGCACGCGTATTTGCTTTAAATCAGCCGTAGAGTCGCTGCCGTGTTGTTGTGGTGGAAACAACTAATATATAAAATAGGAGGTTCTCCCAATTCCCACCTACCGACCAGGATTGCAGAATTGACGCCCTTGAGCGTTTTTCGTACCTTTAAGAAAACAATTCAGAACTATTCTCAAAAATCATCATTTTATCGGACGAAATTTCGCAACCTCTGAATACTCATACGGCGTTCTTCATTAGCACGGGAGTGTAGCCTGACCTATCAGTGCCATCCCGAGGCGCGGCGTCACGGATTCATTTAATCGTGAGTCATGTTTAGTGCGTTCTTTTAAGCGATTCGTGGGCCATGGCAACGTGCTGTTACGGGGTTTCGCTGGTAATCTGATCGAGCTCATGAGTCGAATCACGATAATTGGGAAAATCAACGAGAGCTCCCTGCCCCCTCCCCCCCCCCCCCCCCCCCGGGCCCCTTGCATGTGTGGTCCCCCGCCTTGCCTATTCCATTCTACGCGCCAAAACAGTTGTGTTGCTTCGTTCACTCTCCGCGTCCTTAATTCGTCGCCCCTCGAACGTAAGGACGCATCTCGATTAGCACGCGAGCCCTAAAGAGTGTGGAGGTTTATGAATAACAGGGCTCACGTTAGAATCGAGATACGGCCTTGTGTGAGAGGGACGACGAATTCTCG